TTTCCAAATGATTCCATCATCAAGTTTACCACGACGAACTGTCTATTAAATCGGGTTATCATCGCCTATCTCACTCTAGATTACGTGGTCAGCGAAGACTGGATAAATAAAGTAGACATTTAATATAATACAAAAGATTAAATCGCAAGTACTATTAATCCCGACAGCATAATGTGTAACATAGTTAAATTATATTATAAATAAACACGGCTAGAACGCATGATTGTCAATCCGTTACTATAAATAGAACAGGTACAGTCACCGCTGGAAGTGCGAGGGCGTGCCAAACAAACAAACTTGCGTCCTCTGATTATATACACGTCATATAATCAAAGCTTGCGTCGTTCAATATTGGGTCCTTTTGCACTAATCAAATCCTGTTTTCCATCGATATTAACATTTTTTTTATACAACTACGCTTTTGTTATTGTACTAGATAAGCTGACGTGCCGACAACCCACGCGGCGTTAAGGTTACAGAGCCAATAACCATCACTTGGCGAATACGGCTACCTTGGGACATGGACTCGGGACGTATACTGAGACCTTAGAACTTATATCTCAAATGGGTGACGCATTTACGTTGAAGATGTCTATGGGCTCCAGTAACCACTTAACACCAGGTGAGCTGTGAGCTCGTCCACCCATCTAAGCAATGAAAAAAATGGAGTGGGAGTTGTACTGTATAACATCTGCCCCACTCTTCAAGCTGGAACGTTTGATTTCCTACAGCAAAAATAGGCATGAGACCTAAAACGGGTTCTCAAGACTTGCCAGTCCATTACGCATGTTTACACTCTTCATAAAGCTCCTACATGAACACGTGTTCAGTATGTAGATACATCCATCAGCGCACGCCTACAGCAATCGAACCCAGCATAGTCGCATCGCGTTATCCTTATGACCACGATAACTAAACCTTTTAAGTTGTCTTCATCAGTTCGTTGCTGGAGTAGATCTCTTGTGACCTTTACTAATTAGTAATGAATTGTAAGTCTTACAGGAAAACATCCATCTTTATTAACAGAACTAATAATACCTATAGAATTGCTCTTAAATAAATTTTGTATTTGTTTGCTTTAAGGAAAATCTATTTTTTGTTTTTATTCAAAGTGTTATTTATGATCGGTTTTATCCCAGTGTAGTAAGTATATCCACTTGACGGCTTAGCTGGTCTTACGAGAGCCTATAAGACCAACATTAAGACATGAAGTACAATTTTTTTTTCTTCCTATTCGATGGTGGCCTATGGAGCTATTACAGCTACGCGCAGACGGGTAGGTGAGCTAACGGGCTTAACCTGACTCAGTGGGCTGTGCCTGTGAGATTCAACCGTGAATTTTATTAATTAAATTAGAAACAAAATCACCAGATGCCAACGAGGCTTGAAACATAGTAGGCTGACATTAATGAACTGAAATAAGACAAAAAATAAGATACAAAAAAAATATACACATATCAAAAGCCACCGATGCTCTAAAGCATGCCCAAAGACTGAAATCAAAATAGGCGGGCCACGCAGCAAGGTTACAAGATGGAAGATGGACCTAAAAAGCTACTTTGTGGAGCGGTACAGTGAGAAAGAGAGACAGAGGTAGACCTTACACAAGATGGCAGGATGACATCACAAGGACAGCGGGTAAGAATTGGATAAAAGTGGCCCAGAATAGGAAACATTGGTTTTCGTTGAAGGAGGCCTTTACTCGAGAAGAGGTTTTTGCAAATAAGGGAAAAAAGGGTATACATTGTATGTATTATGAGATTTGTTAATTATTGGTTGCAAGAAATAAAAAGGCTTTTAAGTTTATATTTATATATCCGACTTCACTAACCTTTGAAAACAGTTTAAAAGGACGCAAATTTATAACTTTTGCGGTTTTGTTTTTATTATTCAATATTCATAGTTTTATCGCGCAAGTCGTTTGCGAGAATGTGAAAAAAACATGAAATTAAACCTTAAATAAATTATCGTGTCAACGACTCGTATAATCCTCAGAATAAACCAAGCGATGTATGTGTATGCTACACGCGAAACAGTCTACACGTGTTCCGAATTTTTAATGTCTATGCAAATTTATGCCTAACAAAAAAATAAGACCTCCTTTTTATTTCGATACACGAGTAACAAATTCTTTTACATAACATAAGTTTTCATGTTAATACTGTTGATATTATACTGTCAGTTGCAGGGGGCGTGGAGGAGGGGGCCGGGGTGTGCACAGACTCGAGCGTTTTGTCATGACTATAAATAGAATAACGCTAAACCGTCCAACTGAGATATAAATAGAACTAGAATTCATGACTAAAAACAACTATAGCCGCGGCCATAAAAAATATTCCAATGTAGCGTTTTTATGGCGTAGACAGGAGAGCGAATTTATGGTTCAGATGGTGTAAAGTGGTTATCGTAGCTCGCATACATCACGACGTGAATGCCACCCGACCGCCTAACTTAAGACATGAGTCATAGAAGTCTCGATTGCCTGAATAACGGTTGTCCCAAGCACGACTGTTTTCGGCAGAAAAGAACAGGACTACTATACCTACCCGTGCATGCTAACTATACAACGAAGTGCCAAATGCCTGCGAATCTGCGATATCCAATACGCCAGCACGGGTTGGATATTATGACCATTACCTCAGTTAGATGAGTTCACGGACCTGGTGTTAAGTGGTTACCGGAGCAAATAGACATTAACAACAACCAACCAAATGCAGCCAACCACCGTGTGACATGAGTCTCGTACTATAGTTCAACGAGTGCCGCACCCTTCAAACCAGAACGCATTACTGCTTCGCGGCAAGGTTGTGGTACTAGTGCGAGCTCACAAGACTCCCTACAAGCAGTTTTTTAAGTGAAAAAAATGCAAAGGGGAATGTGAAAAATGCCTAAAGGAAATTTTCAGTAAAACAAATAGACAGGAGGACTCTGGTCGCTGGAGGCCGTACTAGCAATAGCTGGTTGAGTTCAGAGTTGACATACTATTACCGTCTCGTGTGAGGGGCGGCGTGGCACGTGTAGTCACGGTCAGTTATACATACAAGTCACTGTCCACGACCACAATACAAATTAAATATAATTGTATTTTTCGACTTAAAATTTTATTTCTATGTTTTTGGGACCCGCAACACAGAAATTGGTACATTTGAATTTCGTCTCTTCGTAATTCTATAGATAAAATTAGGAACGTGGGTGATTTCTATAAACCGCATGAGAGGGCGATATCGAAATTACATACATGTTGCTGGTTGCACATGAATTTTGGATGAACGAGTGAATATTATGTGTATACACACATATATTAATATAAGTGACTAGTTGGCTAAACATATGTTTTTTTTTGGGTCATAAAATAGCTAGCAGTTAATTCTGAAGGTGTTTGAATACAAATTTTTGAACAAACTTTCAACGAGTGTTAGTATACCTAAATAAATATATTGACAGGTTTTTACAACATTTTCGACCGGTATTATTCTTAACGGCTATTATAAAATTTATAAATAACTTTGTATTGTAGCTGTGAACTTTAATGAGTACGGAACCTTTCATTATGAGTTATCTGACACGCACTTGACCAGTTTTTTTTTTCACTCGAACAACCTTGAATCTAAAACAGTGAATGCGATTATTCAAGCAATTTAACTTGGCTCGTGTGTGAAAATTACATTATACATATTTATGGAACTCTAATACGGAAACAACAATTAAAATAACACGAGTCACATTTATTTTTGTTATGTCACACACATTATTTCAGTTTCTAATAATAACTGAGGTAACGGAACTACAATTTGTAATTTTGTAAAACAATACGAGTCTGTCAAGTGTCCTTAAGGTATTCCTACTTGTCCTGGTGCCTCTTTGACAGGAGATTGGACCTACAATGACTGGACATATACTAAGACAGAGACTTTGCCACGTACCATCCGGCTATGGAATGAGCTCCCTTCCACGGTGTTTCCCGAGCGCTATGACATGTCCTTCTTCAAACGAGGCTTGTGGAGAGTATTAAGCGGTAGGCAGCGGCTTGGCTCTGCCCCTGGCATTGCTGAAGTCCATGGGTGACGGTAACCACTCACCATCAGGTGGGCCGTATGCTCGTCTGCCTACGAGGGCAATAAAAAAAAAACTTGACAGGTGATTCGAGAAGAAACAAAATGAAGAAATGGAACGAGGGCGGACGTGACTAGCGACAAGCAGTACTTTTAACGCCTTCTTAAAAGACGTAGACGAACCAGAGGTCAAGGATAGAACTGACCGTTCTCGTATTCGTATGTCGTATTACTGTTGTCAGAGCGGTCGTGGTCGTCATCCAGCATCATTGTTGTGGGCAGATGTTATGCGCCTCATGAGCAATCGCCAACCATGGCAACCTTCCACGCGGTCTGGTATCTTCTACTTTGCCCTGAACGACAAGGCTCTCTATGGACCGTTCTCATATGTATATAAAATAGTTCACTATTCATCATAATTCAACTAATCATTAGACATTCTGCTATCATCAACTCGTTCTTTAGCTTAATTCCCTGTTAATTCCTATCCTGCGCAGTTTGGAGATATTATGCGTTCGTGACTGTTATTTTTATTATTTTAAACGTACTTATGCCTATCGTCTATATATCTCCTTCTTACACTACAGAGTATTATTGTTTGGAATCATTTAAAATGAAAGAATACGTTACGTGCTCATATTACTTTCATTCAGTGATAATTTTTTTTCGTACCAAACTCCTTCATCACATGCAATTTCTAAAAATAGCCTTTAACCTCGGAGTTTTAAGGTCTCATATGGTTTATAGGCACATAACACCTTCATTCAATGTAAAAACTAAAAAATCTTAAAAATGGTACTTAATCCCTTCATCCACTCATGTCTTCAATTATAAGAAGAGCCGTGGATTTATAAGTCAATGAATCTTTTTTCTGGGCCAAGTTTAAAGCACTAAAACTTGGCTTATTCGATTAGAAATAACAAAGATATAAACTTTAGTGAACATTACCGATATTCGTTCTATGAGTGTTATCACGAAGCTGGTACCTCGATCGATTCCAGAGTCAAATTACCTGAAACGAGAAAAAAAACATTAATTAAACTACGATTATTTAACTCTTCAAGCCCGAACCGTCGATAGATCGACTACCTATTACTACGTATAAAATGCGGAGCGCCGACTATTGCGCAGTTTGATTATATATATAAGGTACCGACCTGTACAGACGTGTTTTAGCACATTTATAAATAATAATCATTAAAGATTGTTTTACTGTGAATTTATCATTGATTTCTGTATTTTTTTTAAGTTAAAGATTGTTATATTATAAGTACTTTTTTTCAACAAACCTTAAGCCATTACTGCAAAATATCTGAATATAAGCTCGGCATTATGTTGGTTAATTGGGAAGCTATTAGGCGGTAGACAGTAGCGTAAAATATTTGACGTATGCTAATGAGCGAATGGTAAGTACTCCGGCCGCCTGTAGTTGGCATAGTCCCGTAAGCTAAAGATTTGGCAGGGAAAATTTGGTAAGTACTGTTGTGTTAAATTAGCTAGTTATCCTGTCGCTCTTTGTTAGTGATTGTTATTTACTATCGTGACAACGCGGCTACCATGTGTATAATTACGAAATTATATGCATTTCCTTTATAAAACTCCTAGTCCACCATTGTATACTTATGGATACTTCATCCACCAATTTCCCAATGCATATGTCAAGGTTGCTTGCTGTTTTATGTGTAGTTAGATGTATATCAAGAGAACGATTTTAGAACTTTCATGTAAATTAAGATACTTCAAACAATAAGCCTAGAACAAAAACGTTCTGACGGTCAGGTCGTGTTGCGTTGTCACAAAAATTCTATTATCAGACTCAAACCGAATAGGATTTCCGCGTGCGAGAAGTTTTGCAAATTCTATTTGAGACGATGGCGTGCCCCATCGGACGCCCACATGTTGTCTGCTGTCGAAAATAGACGCGCGCCAAATTGACTGTTTTCTTTTAATGTATCCGCACTGGTCGCGTGTGCCTGTCAACTTGCTAACCCTGAACTCTTACACGACATCCAAAAAATTTCATTAAAAGCACTTACTTCTTGAGAAACAGTGTATTTATTACTGATGGTAGGACCTCTTGAGTCCACATGGATAGGTACCACCACCCTGCCTATTTCTGCCGTAAAGCAGTAATGCGTTTCGGTTTGACGGGTGTTGCAGCCATTGTAACTATACTTGACACCTTAGAACTTATATCTCACGGTGGGTGGCGCATTTACATTGTAGATGTCTATGGGCTCCAGTAACCACCCAACACCCGGTGGGCTGTGAGCTCGCCCACCCATCTAAGCAATGAAATAAATAAATAAAAAATCATTTGTGACAGAGAAAGTTGCGAAATAGATGAGTTCTCTAATAGATCAGCGTTAATAATCATGACTACACACATAGGAACCACTCCAGAAAACAATGAGTTTTGTTTGATCAAATTCTTATACCATTCCCGAAGGCGACTTAGACCTGTTTCTAATAAGTATAAACAGCAGTTTGTTTTGAAGCCAATTGGTAACCTTTTATACAGATCCTATTAGATGAATGATGATAGATCGCAGAGCCTCCACAAATGCCCCTATCCTACTCGTTTCTAAAACAAAGCGGTCATGCAAAAACAGGCAGAACGGTGAATCTTTAACTTTAAGGTAATATCAAAGAAATGATACAAGTATTGTAAATTAGAAGTTGGATATTTCACTTGTGGAAAAACACACCAGCCTTTAGAGAAACAATTTTGCGATGTACCGAGATCTACATAAGGCACCCTTTCCGATAGCCATTAAGTGGCCTCCGCGCTTCCCCTCCGCCGAGTTCTCGCCGAGGAAGCGCGAGTGGGGGCGGGTGCAGCGTGCACTGATTACGCATCCGGTCGGGGTTGTCGCCCTTCCGGTGCGTCGCGTATCAGTCAGCTGACGGTCGTTGTTTACATTGGTAATCAACAAATTGACCATTTCTTCACTGTGACGCGTTTTTTTATTTATTGCTTAGATGGGTGGACGAGCTCACAGCTCACCTGGTGTTAAGTGGCTACTGGAGCCCATATACATCTACAACGTAAATGCGCCACCCACCTTGACATATGAGTTCTAAGGTCCCAGTATAGTTACAACGGCTGCCCTACCCTTCAAACCGAAACGCATTACTGCTTCACGGCAGAAAAAGGCAAGGCGGTGGTACCTACCCGCGCGGACTCACACGAGGTCTTACCATCAGCAAAAAAGACGTGATTTGTTAATGAATTTTTGTTTTTTTTGATACTTCTGTTCTCCTCTGCGACATACTAGATTTAAATATCCTGGTGTAGATTGACACCTGTGTGTGTAATTAATATAAGAATATATGAGCTATTGACATAATTTCTCAAGAAATCGCCTTCTTTCGCTGTCATCAGTTGTGTCACACTGTATTATATTAAGAATCATATTATAATAAGACTCATAAGGACAGGGAACATAAAAAAAACGTGAATTAATCTTAAATATTGCCTCAGTATTGCGTATCGCATGGTCGTATATTGGCTGCAGCCGCTTCGGGTGACGATCTAGTATTTTTCCTTTATATCAACGCGGCGAGGGAATTTCCTATGACCAGTAGAGTATTCGCCGCGGAATGGTACTGCCGACCTTCGGGTGCGTCACTCGGTTCGGCTGAAAGAAAGGCGTTGCTTTGAAGTCATGGCTTGTGATATAATCATCGACTACTCTCCTTATTATATTTGTATACATATCGGTTATGTTAAGGCCTTCAATGCTATTCAGTTTATTAGTATATTGATATGTAAATTAGTATATAAATCAAATAGTTATTTCATATTATATGTAAACGGTATATATCTATTTATTGTATGTATATATTCTCTATAATAATTTATTGCCAATAGTACACCACATCATATAATACCTGCTATATTTTTTTCTTATTTTTTTATTGCTTGGATGGGTGGACAAGCTCACATCTCACCTGGTGTTAAGTGGTTACTGGAGCCCATAGACATCTACAATATAAATGCGCCACCCACCTTGAGATATAAGTTCTAAGGTCTCAGTATAGTTACAACGGCTGCCCCACCCTTCAAACCGAAACGCATTACTGCTTCACGGCAGAAATAGGCAGGGTGGTGGTACTACCTGTGCGAGTGTCACAAGAGGTACTCCCACCAGTAAAAAAGTTCGTTAACGTGATTCAGATTTTTGCACGTTCAGAACTTACCCGTGCGGACTGACAGTTGTCCGTATTAACGGTCAATAATTAATTTGAAGCAAACGTTGTTTGTACACACGGACGAGCACCCCAAACGCCTACTAACTGGGTTTTAGATCCTAAATTCTTATGTTTAATTCCTTCACTATTTAAGACCTAGTTCTGTTTAGCTATACTGTGTTGCGAAAAAACAGTCATTTGTTGAAGCGAAACGTTCAACTCAATTGGCTAAAGAACGCGAATACACGCGGAACACCAAAAAACCTTTGAAGTTTTAAAATAATATCTGTTTATGTACATAATGGGTGTGCGCGGCGCCGTGGGATCGGGTCGCTTCCCGATTCTCGTCCCGATTACAGCATCTTGGCGCCAATTCTCGCTGACAGACGTAACGTCATCGATTACTTGAAAGCCGTTGGCACGTGATGCACCTTGATTGATGGCTCTAATTATAGCTACGTTTGATGAGCACATTATCAATCGCGATTGTCATTTGTTATAAATCGTAGAAGCTCAAGAAAATGTTGTAACTAGCCCTCGCAGGCGAACAAGCGCAGCCGCAAGTCGACCTATTTTAAAATGTTAATAATCTTGAGCACTCGTGAGGACATTCGCGCCAGACTTTTTTTTATAAAGTTGATAAGTAAGGAAATATTACAAAATCCAAACAAATATAAGCTTGTGGAGAGTACTAAGCGGTAGGCAGCGGCTTGGCTCTATCCCTGACATTGCTAACGCCCGTGAGCGACGGTAACCACTCACCATCGGATGGGCCGTATGCTCGTCTGCATGCACGGGCAATAAAAAAAATCAACCATTAACTGTCACGATCTGTTGGGCATAAAAACTTAAAATTACCGACTTCTGATGAGAGAAACGCATCGTGATGTCTTCCATCGGAAAAATCTACGCTGTGGTCACACACATACTTCAACACTGAGAGCTCACACAAAACAACGAATTATAAATGATTTTATCAAAACCAACAGTCACATGTTTATTGAAGGTGAGGAATCAAAAGAATCTAATCGACGATAAATTGGGCTATTGATATATCAATTTTAGAAAGAGACATTTTTATGACGTGTTTAACAAAAGTCACGCGTCAAACTCTGAAAACTGTGTAGGTACTCGTAATACGTTCAACATCATGTATTTTATAACACTAAAATCAAACGTTTTTAATTCAGAATGTGTTACCTTTTATAATTATATTATCTCGTCACAGTAAAATGTACTGATTATTCAATTTATTAAGCAATAGAAAAACATGAATCACTCTTAAGAATGTTAACTAAAAAAAGTAGATATACAAGATTAACACATTGGCAGAGATAAGAAGAAGAAATACCAACCCTTTTCGGTTCACAAATCAAATTTCCTACTTGTCCTAAAGACAGGATCAAGACAAGTATTCTGTGGGAAAATAAAGTAAGGAAACTACCTACACTATTCGGTAGGGTTACCCACTGTTCAGTTTGCTATCTTCACATCTTATAAAGATCAATTGCTTGATTAAATGCGAGTTTAAAAAACGTAATTACCAGTGTCATGTAGACGCGTCTAGCATAAGCAATGAGATCATTGAGATAAATTTACGAAATATTATAATTATTCACCATGCATTCGTAGTTAAATATTAGGGAACCACTTGTAATTTTCCATTCAACGAAAACAGTGTTACTAAATCAAGAATCGGACCCATGATTAGATAGATACGCAAGCGATATAGATATATATATACGTTCTTGCTTATTATTACTAACGTGTTTAATCTACAAGACCTAATGCTACTGACAGTAAATTTTATAGTCAATA